GGACATCCTGCTGTGTCCCAAGTAATCCCTGTGTCCTCAGCACGGCACTCGGTGCTCGTCTGTAACACCCCCAATCTGCCCCTCTGTCCCCGTGGGGGTCCAGCGGCCTAGGCTGTCCCTCTTCCTCACATCTCACACTATTTCTTTTCTGAGGCTGTGCCCGGACACCCCTTCCCCACCTCTGCCTTCTTGGGCCCCTCACTCGCCTACCTTCAGCCTGGCTAAGCCACCAACTGCCCATCAAGGCCAATTCAAATCAAAGGCCAAACTCACTGCCAGCGAGTCGATTCTGACTCCTAGCGACGCTCTTTGGCTTTCCTAGGGGGTAGTAGATTGCCCAGTCTTCCTTCCGCAGGGTGGCTGGTTAGCTACCTTTGAACTTGTGGAACTGTCTTCCTTCCGCAGGGTGGCTGGTTAGCTACCTTTGAACTTGTGGAACTGTCTTTCTAGCTGAAAAGCGCTCACCACAGTGCTCATGGCTCACCTCATGGAGAAGGATGGTGCGTGCTGCCAGCAGGCAACGCAGCTGTCTCCGCTGCGGGAGCCCCGGCCGCCAGGGGGCACCAGCACCCGTCAAGGAATCCTGCCTCCTCACGCGGGTTTGCTCGCATTGCCCTATCAAGCCCTGTCCCCTCAGGAACACTTCATTCAGTTCAGATCGGTTCTATGAAAGATAAAACCTACATTGCCTTATCCAGCAAACTTCGCGTTTGCTTCAGGCAGACAACAGCGACGCATGCAGAGATGGAGACGTTGTGGGGTCCCTGTGGCACAAACAGTTAAGCATGCGACTACTAGCCAAAGGTCGGTGGTTTGAACCCACCCAGGAGCCCCTCGGAAGACAGGCCTGGTGACCTGCTTCTGCAAGTCACCACCGTGCAAACGCTGGGGGCAGGTCCCCTCTGCACATGTGGGGCCGCCGTGAGTCGGCACAGACACCCCAGCACCCAAAAACGCCACCCAGGTTTGTTCACAGCGTGACGACAGCCACGTGGGCGGAGGTGGAGAGCAGCTCTGCTCCCTCCAGAAATAAGAGCCGGTCCGGGTCCCAGGTGTCCGTCAGTTCACATCTCACCTCCTGAGCGTCAGAGATGGCTCTGATAGGCCAGGGAGCCCACGGTCAGTCCCACAGTGACAATGACACCCAGTGGAAAACAAACGCTCGCTAACCTTGTATCCAGGAGCCCTGGTGGCACAGGGCCTAAGGCATCTGACTGCTAACCAGAAGGTCAGTGGTTTGCACCCACCAGCCACGCCGTGGAAGGAAGACTGGGCAATCTACTTCCAGAAAGATTTACCACCTTGGAAACCCCAAAGAGGTCACTATGAGTGGGAATTGATTTGATGGCAGTGGATATAGCTTGGTTTTAGAACCTTTTATCAAGGAGCCCTGGTGGTGCAGTGGTTAAGTACTCAGCTAACCTAAAGGCCAGCAGTTTAAACCTATTAGCTGCTCTGTGGGAGAAAAACGAGGAAGTCAGCTTCTGTTAAGATGTCAGCCTTGGAAACCCAGTGGGGCAGTTCCACTCTGTCCTCTAGGGGCGCTGTGGGTCAGAATGGACTCCA